CACAAGAGTTTAAATGCACGCATCTTAAAAGGATGGTCCACCCAAAAAATCTGTAATAATTTACTCACCCTCGTGTCATTACAAACCTGTATGAGTTTCTTTCTTCTGAAGATATTTTGAAGAATGTTGATAACCGAACAGTTGCTGGTAGCCATTGTCTTCCATAGTATATTTCCCATACTATGGAAGTCAATGGCTACCAGCAACTGTTTGGAACAACTTGAGAGTGAGTAAATGATGACAGAATGTTCAAGAACTATTCCTTTAAGGTTCTTGTACAAAAGGCATGTACATAAAGCTGTCCATGTGCTTTTGGCATCTGGAATTTGTTTAAAGACTGATTTATAGTGTCTGAAAAATCTAAATTCTTTTAGCTATGTAGTTTTAGATCATTAAGGCACTTGGAAAATAAGAAAAATAAATATTGAACAGGAATGCAGCGGGTATGTTGTTTGCAAAGAATTTATTACCAGCTCAGGAAATATACTGCACCAGCTGTGTTTATATGCTATACTTGTCCTTTTCTGCCACACAACAGGAAAATTCAGGAAAACAACTCAATACATATTCTAAATGCTCTGTTTAAACATTGGCTTCTGTGTAGCACTGTGAGTGGGAGTGGAAGATGTAGAGCAGTCTGTCAGGAGACCCACAGGAATGAGCTCTTCATAAAAGTTGCATGGTGCAACTCGGGATCCAGGCAGGCTTGCATTGCTAACAGTTAGAAACGGAAATGCAGTAAGGGCCGGCTGAAAGCCGATACCTGTGCTACTGAAACAAACCTGGCCATTCAGCCATGTGGCAAGACCAAATCTGTATAAATGGCCCATTTGTAAATCTGTATCTGTTTCGTATAGTGCTCGCACAGGAAATACAGCTTGTTTCTTTGTTTTTTTCAACATGTTAACATACCTAAAACACATCTGTACGTAACAGAGTGAGTAATATGTCAGGGATGTCACATATTCTTCTGTATTGTGATTTAAGACAGTACATAAATAAGGTTTTGAGGTTCTACAGGAATGCATTTTCCACACAAATGACGTTCTGCACAGCACAGCCTTTGAGTGTGTTGTGGTAAGCGTTAGATAATTCATGCTACTGTTGAGGTGTGTTCTCCTGTAGGATATTGCATTACCTGTGTGGGCCCAGTTTTTCACACTGGCTGTCTGTCCTCTCTCAGGCATCATGCTTTTCATTCGGAAAGCCTCCTCAGGGTGGTTGAAACGGAAGAAGGCGGATTGGCCGAAACACAGCATACAGCCTGCACACAAACCAAAACCACTTTTTATGAAGCTGAGAATGAAAATGCATAACGCTTTACATCAAACATATGCCTGAAGAAGGCATTTTAAATGATCTTGACTAGGATCCCGGCAGTTTTAGACCAGTTTTGTACCGCTGTGTGAGAGGTACGGAGGGGGGAAAGGAATGCTTGCCCCCGTTTTACATGAACAAGCAAGAACATCTCACACTGTGGTGTCGGATCAGACTCCTGGCTTGCTGAGTGAGGGGAAAATAGACAAGTCAAATGCTGGTAATGTAGCCAGTTAAAGTCAACATGAGATCTAAATTAACCCTATTTACTTTCCTAATACACATTCCTGGTCTTATAGTGAATGATCTCTTTATTATCATGCAACCATCTATCATATAAAGATAATTTAAAACAAATAAATCAATTTTCAATGGATCAAATCAAACCTTGCCCTATATATTGGCTTTTTTATATATATTGGTACCATATATGCCAATATCCAAATATGCCAAAGTCAGTATTGAATATATATATATTGATAATGTATATTTATTTGTGCTCTACATTTTTTATATATGTCACTACCATATCGGCCAAAATTAGTGATTTAAACACACACACACACACACACACACACACACACACACACACACACAAACAAACAAAAAAAAGCACGTTTATTATATTAAACTGCCAGAGCTTATCTGGCCAATCACAGGATGTATTCAAGGTAGGTAAAGGTCTCATGGAAACCTTTCCAGCCGGAGCAGATGTGTGATGAATGCGGAGTGCCAGATGCCCTTTTGTTCCAGGCAGAACATTTGATTACCCCTCAGGTTGCCAAAAAAAGTGAGATAAACACACACACACACACACACACACACACACACACACACACACAAACAAACAAAAAAAAGCACGTTTATTATATTAAACTGCCAGAGCTTATCTGGCCAATCACAGGATGTATTCAAGGTAGGTAAAGGTCTCATGGAAACCTTTCCAGCCGGAGCAGATGTGTGATGAATGCGGAGTGCCAGATGCCCTTTTGTTCCAGGCAGAACATTTGATTACCCCTCAGGTTCTGACAGGACAAGGTATGATTAGAGCACACAAAGAAAACTAAGAACCGCTGTAGTAAACTAAATCGTGTGCTTAAGTGGTATTCTCACATAGACGTTTCATGTTGTTTCTGAATAGAAGAATGAGGACTGTTAACTGATGGTGGTTGTTGTCATAAAAAGACTCTTCTAGGCTTGCTCAAGTCTTGACATGCTCTGCTTACACATTCAAAGACGAGTAAGCAAAACAAAACAAGAAACTCAAAATACACAAAGCACATGTGTTGAACAGAAAGTTATAGTAGTAGTTTATTTAACAGACTTGTTTGCATGCTTGCTCATAAAATGTTTTATTTAAAATAACAGTATATTGAGGTCTGAGGTGCAAACCACATCAGCGAGACTTTGTTTTGTGCCTTGTCGAAATCATATTTGAGCGTTTTTACAGACAATAACTGTAGCATCCGCTGCATCAGCACGATCTGCCGACAAGCTCAATCATTATTGGCAAGCAGCAGTGCCAAACAACAAACCCGCATGCGACAGCAGCTTCACTGCCTTCCTATTTTGATCTACAAGCATTGTGCTCAAATTAGTCTTTGTACAAATGTGCCATTAAAAATGATGCACAGCAGTTAATTCAGTGATGTGGTAAAGACGTGCTCGTGATAGCAAGTAAACTTGTGCAATTCATCTGCACAGCTGTAAGAGAAAAGGTTGCAAGATTTTACCCTCAAAACACATCATGTGGTCCATCGAAGCAGAGCCTATGGTGCTTATGCTGGTTTAACAAAGGCAAAATACTGTTATTGGAACATTTAGTTTAGAGAGGTTTTCTCCTTCAAAATAACTTTGTTTTGACTCGTCCTAGAGCTTTTAATCCATCGCATTGTATCGTATTGTACTGTATCGTATCAATTGTATTTATTGTCCAGTATTGTATTCATTGTACAGTATCATATCTAGTGTGGTGTATTGTATTGTATTGTATCATATCTATCATACCGTATCATAACTATTGTACTCTATCTATCTATCCATCCATCCATCCATCCATCCATAGTATCTATGTATCTATCTATAAACATTTTATTATATAGCACAGGACAGTAAAGCCCTGCATTGTCATAGCTGAGATTCACTGATCCACCAGCATGCAGAACTCAAATGAACTCCTGACCACAGCTCAGACTGCAATTCAATCAATACACAGCAGGAAAAAACCTTAGCATCTTTACCCTTAAGTGCTAACAGGGAACTATTTGAACCATTTTTACAAGTCAGGCATATTTCAGCTGACTTTATGTATATATCAGTTGCCTTTTATCATTACGAAGAGCAAGGTTCAAACCAGAAGTGGTTGAGCACTATTGTAAGCTTTCTTTCATTGCATCATTTCACAGAAACACATAGTTCTTATTATACATAGAACAGTGGGATATCAAATGTAATGTCTTTGTTTATGTGTGGCAGAAAGTGAAAAGGTCTGTGTTTAGTAGTCTTGGCATGCAGGAAATGATTAATAGACTAATACCAACAGTGAAACAAGAGGTAAAAAATTTCCCATGGTGTCAAACCGAGAACAGTACAGTAATATATACAGAAGTTAATATGATACACACTGAATGTCTGATGAAGATTAAATATAGCTGGCAGTAAACGACCAACCTGAATGTCAGTACTTTAGGTGCCAGTAAAAATCCATTAGATTTCCTCAGATTGGCCACTATAACACCACAAAGGTTGATGGATTTACCCACAATGCAAAGTGAAGAGTCTGGAAGTAGATTTATGAAGTGCAGCGATGGAGGGTAATCTAGCACATCAGACAACACTACAGCACACAAGGGAAAATACGTGAGCCAAGAATCACACCTGCTGAGGAGGGAACCTATCAATCGATCCATTTCAGACATGCTGCAGCAACGACTGAACGCTGCTCATTTACAATATTCAAAGAAACCTATATTTTACTTGAAAGGAGCGTTCATAGACATCAAGCCCACAAACCGCCCACAGTCACAGATAATTCTGTCCTGAGGGGGGCGCTGAGTTTGAAAATGCAATAGTGGTAAAATCCAAAGATAAACATGGACGGTGTTTCCCTGTTTATAGACAGCCTCTCTCTCTCTGCCAGTCATTATGGATACTTTTAACACAGATATTTTTGGTGGAAGTCAAGGAGATGATATACGATTTCAACCCCTTGTGGTGCTGTTCCTCGCCACAGGTATGGATGTGCGATCATGGTACTTTCAATGCAGCCCTTTTACCCCATTTATAAACAGAGGTGTATAAACTAAAAACTTTGTTACTGTACTTAAATACAGTAGCCTACATTTATACTTTATATTCAAGAATAAATATTTTGTTGACTTTTACGTTATTATATTTTAAAAAGAAAATTGAAACTTTTAGTCCAATACTTTTCTCCAAAGTAGGAAAAATGAACTGACAAAACTTACTTAACATTAATTTATCATAGTAAATATCCCTATTTCAACACCACTGCTGTGCATCTGCAGCCACTTTGCATTACCACAAAAATATTGCTAAAAATAAAAAGTATAAAGCATTTTTCAGAACGGTGTGGCCTGCTCTGAAGAGCAGAACCACTAAATAACCTCTCCTTGTCATAGATGTCATCCTCAGCAAAGCATGACTAAGAGCCATTTTGTAATCAAATTCATGAGGCCATTTGCAAGAAGACAGACCTCACTACTGAATGACAAAGAGTGGGGAGAGGCGCGTGAATCTGGAAAGCACAGCAGGAGAGTGGCTGTTCCCCATGCACAGCCCGTCTCCCCGACATTAATCAGAGAGATTAATTCCCCACCGCTCTCAGATGAACCGTTCCTCTACAACAGCCATAACTGCACTCTGAGAAGCCAAACTCATTAAAGAAAGTGCAGGTGTATCCATGCCAAAATCACCTGAGAAATAATAAATGACATTGCAGTGAAGGTTTTTTTTTTTTTTTTTTGAATAAAGCTTTGCACTTTCTTTAATAAAGCTTATTATTCCATCTTTTTATTTTGCTTCCTATAAGTTAAAATACTTTTTGTACTGTATTTATATTTATTTAATTTTGTATTTATAATATATGATGCATTTTATTAGATTAAAATCTAAATATTTATCAGATAAATGGGTGGTGCATAAAATATTACATACAGTGTATTTAAATAATTTGTTTAAATAGTATATATGTATTTAAATACATTATTATATTTTATTTACAATATATTATTTATATATTATTTACAATTTATTATTTATATATAAGATCATTATAATTATTTATAACTATATATAATATAATGCAAGTAATATAGTTATTACATAATTAATAAAAAATAAGTTCTAAATGCATAATGATATCTAAATGCATTATATAAGCTAAACAGGTGGGGTATATAATATTAAATAAAATGTATTTAAATAATGTATTTAAATATTATACTATTTAAATACATTATTATACATTATTTACAATATGTTATTTATGTATGACATGATATTATATATAATTCATTATTTAATTAATGATTTGTTATTACATATAATTTTACATAGATAAATTACATATAATGTTTAATTGTATTTTGTTCCACATTTGTAACTGTGGTCTCTGAGACACCAAATATAAATAATGTTCTGTACAAAATTTAATTTAAAAACAGTTTGCATCAGTTTTGGGATATTTTATAAAACATCAATCTTTACCCTTCAATGTTAAGTGTCCTTTATGAGCAAGAAAGACCCTCAGGGTCTTTCACACCCCTTAAAGAACATGAGACTTAACAAAAAGTACAGCTTTCTAAAATGTTTTCTGTTCTCTTCATTTTCTAACACATGAAATCAGTACAGAAACAGATTGCCTTTCTATAGCACAAACCCAGTGGTGCATCACAGATATAGTGGGAAGAGTTCCAATTTCTTGTAAAAGAAACACCAATGCCTCAGAGATACAGCAAAATATCTGCATGCACTCAGTCCTTCATCCTGACTTGTTATAGCACAGGGATGAAAAGGGTTGCATATAAAGTTTGGTCATTTTTGACAGAACTATTCACTCTCCAAACCACGGATGACAGAGCAGTACAGATCTGCCTCATGCACTTTCGGTAAAAATAAGAGTGCTGGATCTGTGTCAAACCAACTGCATTATAGTTTAGATCTCAATAAAGCTGGCAGGACGTAGAGTATGGTGAGTCACGGGTCCCAAACTGTTCCAACTGAAAACACAGAGATGTGAACAGAAGACGTCAAGACAGAGATGCCAAAAAGAACGCACAACGGTTTCCACGGTATTTAGTTTTACTGCGCCTGGAAAGGTCAAAAACCTAAGCAAACCAGTATTTCATTCTAACCTTTACCCAATTCCACACATTCCAGAAAGCATGTGGCTCACAACCACAAGTGATGCAGCTTATAAGTGCCAAAGTTAAAAATAAATATGATTTATATCATGTGAAAGCTGTGAAAATGCATTGTAATGGATCATTCTGCATGCAAAGTGTGCATGACACAAACACACACACACACACACACACACACAAAAATGTCTAACTCTCAATGCATGGACCAACCTCTTAGACGGTGGCTATCTCTTGAGGAGATGGTTTTACATTTAGTTCAAATGTGACCCAACACAAACTGTGGAGGTTAAGTATGAACATACTGGGTGACGACAGGGAACTTAAAGCAGAATAATAAGGAAAAATCCCCTTATCTTTCCGTCAGCTATTCCAGCAGGGTTGCCAGTATATGTTCAGGACAAATACAAGCATGTGTGGATAGTCTGACTGAGCAAACAGTGTGTGGAGAATGAAGAAGGACTGCATAGAAACAGGAGTAGCAGCACTCTTGGGTCACATTGACCGGGAATAGAAGTGTAACACTATACACACACTCATGCCCCTGCCAGCATGCAAGAGAAAACCTCTCTGCAAGATTTGGACTGGTTTATTGTGGGTTATGCACCCTGTGTATGCACATTTTATGATGATATTATATTTATGTTAGTGTATTTATACTTATCATATTCCTATCATTCATGTTTAACTCTTTTGTTTTAAGATTTTTTTAAAGAAGTCTCTTATGCTTATCAAAGCTGCATTTGTTTGACTAAAATTACAGTGAAAACAGTTATATTATAAATATTATTACAATTTAAGAAAAATTATTCTCTATTTGAATATATTTTTAAATGTAATTTAGTCCTATGATGCAAAGCTGAATTTTCAGCATCATTACTCCAGTCTTCAGTGTCACATGATCCTTCAGAAATCATTCTAATATGCTGATTCGCTGCTCAAGAAACATTAATGTCGAAAATAATTGTGCTGCTTGATATTTTTGATAAAACCGTGATTTTTACAGGATTCTTTGGTGAACAGAAAGTTCAAAAGAAGAACATATTTTTAAATAGAAATCTTTTGTAAAATTATAAATGCCTTTACTGCAACTTTTAATCAATTTAATGCATCCTTGCTGAAAAAAAGGTATAAATATCTTTCAAAAATATATGAAACTATATATGTTAATAAACCAACATTGTAAAGTGAACTTTCATCACAGAGAGCTTGTATCTGAGAAAAAATCTGTTGCTTTTAAATATCTTTTTTGAATATTCACACCAAAAAACTACTCAAACAAATTCATTAGGTCCTCATACACTTACTTTTAAATCCAAACGATCAACTTCCCATCCCATCTGTAGGCAACATCCTATCTGTCCCTTTAAAAAGGAGAGCACATGGTTTTATACCAATAGCTGTAGCATGCAGAGACTGACTTGCTTTGTCATGGTAAATCCTTTGTTCATAGAGTATCCATCAACTATTCCCCGTGCTTTAACGGATTTCTTTATCGTTAACTTGAAATAAGTGTCCATCGTACGCAGTCGTAGTGAGGAGGCTTCCATTATAAACCCAGTCACAGAAATATAATCCTGTCCATTGCCATGCCGTATTGTATCCGAGCACTTCTGAAGTCACTGAACCCCTGCACGCTCTCGTAGTGATGGGTGGTAAAGTTGAACAGCTGTCTCCGTCACTGGTGCAACTAATTTCCCTCTCAGATAAGGGATGGGGAAAGGAGGAGGTGTAATTGCTCACCCCCTGAGTCAGAGCCGCAATCTCTGCATGTCAGGGGGGCAACTGGGAGTTTCTGCTTCAGTTATTGCATTTGACAATCTTTCCACAGGTTCCTGCTCTTTTATGACTCTTTTACACATACAAGATAATACAAATCAAGGGTTGCACTAAATGAGGCTCTTATTCTGAACACCAAACTGAATATTTCAGAGCAAACGTATTGAACAATAGTGAAACACTAGAAGCTGGCACAATAATGAAGATCACCCAAAACACACCCCTCCCCCCAACCTGTTTAGTCAAATTGTTCCCTCAGACAAAAGACACAGAGGAGGGACGGGCTTGCGTTCAGTTTGGGTGCATCGATTCCCTTTCATAAGAGATTTTACACTTCAGAATCATGTTTGAATTTTAGTATGGCTGATGCTGCAGAAAGTAATGACTCAGATTCTTAGCTGTATTTAATTTGAATGAAGGATTGAACCTGAGGATTGGACTATTGTAAATGAATAAAAGGTATACAATGTGGTTGTGTACCTTGAGACAGGCGCACAGGTTTGGTGACCGGCAGTCCGTCCATGCTACACTGGTTTCCACAGGGGTGCAGAGTGATGAGTCCTGCCTTGTTTTCGATAAAGCAGTGCTGAGCTGTGATCCCTGGGCCCTGGATGTTGATGTCCATGGTTCCGTGACCCAGAGTGGTCTTGCCTAAAACAAACAACCCCCACAGGATGTTGATTTCAAAGATTGTTTGCTCTCAGACAACATGTACTATGTTTCTGGTTGCAAAAGTACTCAGGTGAAGAGAGAAGTCAGTGAAAGCCCAGGCACTTTATGTCTGTTTTACTTTTAGATAGATATTACTGTTTAAAGGTTTGAGATTGGTTTGAAATGTTTTTGAAAGAATTCTCTTATGTTCACCAAGAGTGCATTTAATTGATCTTTTTTTCAGCAAAGTGTGATGTCTATTTTGTTAAATTAAACTGAGCTAATTCATGGATATTGGGCTGCTTTTTGTCAGTGAGAAGAACCACATTCCCACCCTCATCTGTTATTAGGCACGAGATAAAAGTCTGTGACCTGAGAGGAATTACACAAAATAGTATATCAGTTTATAATACTAATACAGTGTAGTGACTAATATAAATTAAATAAGAATTCAAACCTATTCTCTCATGCCCTTTTCATAAGGTAATTTCTCAAAGCCTTCATGATAATTACATGTGTCTCTGAGGAATTCAGACAGATGGACACTGATAAAGGAGATACTGGTATGAATGGCTTGTCAGTGTCAGAGAAAGTAAGTAGGTGGAGATGAAGGGTGGTTAATGAAGAAAGGGGCTTTTCTAATTAAGAGAGGGTGTTTTTAAAACACCCCATGCTGCTTAAGGCTCAGAGTCGGGTTACTGGCTTTTCAATCACAACACAGAGGTGACGCAGGGGATTTGGCCATCTGTGTATATTGGTTTTATATAAAGGTGTGTGTTTCTTCCCATACAATAACATTATTGGATCATATTTTGAGAATGTTCCACTTTTTTCCCCCAAGTTTATAAAAATGGAAATATATCTAAGATCACTGCAAACCTTTTGAAAAAGTCCACCGAAATATAAATATAATAATGTAATTAATACAATTATATAATAATAATCTTACCTTCAGGCAGAGGTAAGAGGGTGATGGCTGTACTGAGACGCCCACTTCCTAGACTAACCAAATGGGGACGGTCTGCTTGGACCTTCAGGGCTTTCCCGGTCTCAATCAAATCCAGTGGAGTGCTCTAAAAAAAGCATAGTATTCACTCAAACATGAAAAAAAGTCATCATGTTCCCATCCGCACGTGTTTTTACATTAATATGACTTTGGCATCATATGGTGACTTACAATTTTCTAATAGCATATATTCGGATATACTACTCTTTTTGCATATTGTTTTTTACATGTTATATAGGGAAATAGGCATTTTTGGACACAGCATTTCTTTATTGCATGGAACACAAATGGAATTATTTATAAGAATGTCCAGGCTGCTCTTTTCCATACAATTTTCATTGAATATTCATTTAAATTTTAGTGGCACAAGGCTAATATATGGCTTCAGAGGATGTACTTTCTCTGGTCCCCATCCATTTTCATTGTATGGGAGAGATCAGCATGAACGTTCCTAAAATCATCTGCTTTTATGATACAGAGAAGAAAGAAAGTCATACAGGTTTGGAATGAGTGTATGAGGCATGAGGGTGAGTAAATGATGACAGAAGCATTTTTAAGTAACTATCCCTTTAAATTGGTGGGTTTTAACCAGGGGGCCTCAACAAACTTCCAAGGGGGCCCTAACATGACTTAAAATAAGACAAAACAAGCATTAAAATAATCTTAAAAAATAAATAAATAATTAAATACAATGGTAAAACTTAAGTGGCATTTTTTATAATAAATATACATTTTTCTAGTTAATATATTCTAAACTCTAGAATATTTTATTAGGTTAAAATTATGACGAAAAAGTATTATATATATATA